AGGTTGGGAAGTGGGCAGGGAAAGAAAGGAGACCAAACAAGGATACTATAACAAGTGAAGTCAGGAGGAAGCTAAATTTGGACTAATCCTACAAGAGAGCAGTGGGAAAGTGCAGGCTGTGCCTCAAATTTGTCATAACCAAAGGCACAGAAGTTAGAGTGTTTATATGCCAGTACCTACCACCAGTGATTGTCTAGAGGGTGTCAGGTTAAAGACGGGGGAAGAGAGTGGCGGGTGGGTGCTTAAGAGCAAATGAAGGCTTTGTGCCTAGCAGGAGACCCACAGAGGTGGGAGACAAGCTTACTGCCAGGGCCCACTGCTGCTTACAGGCTAGGGCAGTTTATAGGCCTGGGCAGGGGGAGTCTGGTGGGGGCACAGCCTGCTGCCTGGGAAAATGTTGATTATGTGTTCACGGGCGAAGTTTTTCTAGCTGTTGTTCCGGCTGAATGTACTTTCTCCCAGCAGAATATGAGAAGAAGCAGGCTATTTCTTATGGCCCAAGCCCCCCGTGAAATGTTTCACTTTGACCAAGCAGTGAGAAATGGTGGTGGGGGAGCTTACAAAGTGGTAGGGTTTGGACCAACATTCTTGCTTTCTATTTTAACATAAAAGGAAAAGGGGGCATTGTCGACGATCTGGCTGCTTCCTGCTGAATAGGGTGCTGTTATCAGGGTTGGGGTTTTGAAGTAGTGGGTGTCCAACTTCAGAGCTGTTTTCCTGGAGGCGCTGTTATGGAACTTGGTGGAGGAGAAGAATGGCATCAATATGTTTGTGGGTGGTTGCCTGGAGAAGGGAGTTCAGCCTTTGGGAGATAAAGCAGGATATGAAGGTGAGTACACATGGACCCAGAAGTGTTTTATGGAAACGGGATTGTAACATGTTTAGTTTGTTAGTATTTAGAGGAGGCAGATTAGGGGCCCTAAGAAAGGGGTTACCCAAAGCATCCACTTTAGGAGGGATGGTCCCTGTTACTAAGAGTTAGTGGCTTGATGTTGGATTTCTGCAGTCCTGTTACAGAGGCCATGGGCTCTGCGAGCAATGCCAGATTAATTAACATAGAAGAAGCGTTTTTCTTGGAGTTATACACATGTGTCCCCCTTTTTAATGGTTAGGAGGTCTAAGACCCTTTGGTTTTGGAGAATGGCCCCCTCAAGGGAGTTTTTCTGCCTTTGGAGCCTTGTGATGGAAGTATGAGTGTCCTCTACAGTATTATAGAGGACTGTAGATTTTTTTTTTAATATAGAGAAGTTGATATACTTGTTATTCCAGTGCCAAGTGCAGCAGAGATGCTTAATCCTGCTACCAGAAGAATGAGATGTAGAGTCCATTTAGTACAGGTGGAGGGAAATGAGACAGAAACTACCAAAGGAACCTGGATGGTCTTGTTGTTTGGTAAAATGCTAATGTTTGGAGATTAAAACCAGGGTGTATGTTCTTGACCAAATTGCTGGCAGGCAAAGATGAGTTTGTGCCACACAGAAAGAAAAGACCAGGGGTTGACAGGCAAAAGTTGTAAGTAAAGGTAGCGAGCTATGAGAAGATGGGGGTAGAATCCTGGACAAACTTTTGTTCCAACATTTTATTTCTCCAGGTTGAATAGCTATTAGCAACAGTAGACCCTGTGAGGGTCTGATAGGGAAAGTTGGTGGGGGAGGAGGTGAAGACGATTTGGTTTTGGAGAGAGAGAGAGAGAAATGGGTTTTTCTTAACTAATAGCCTCTGTAGTCCTGATAGGGCAGAAGGATATAGATTTCAGTTGAGGGAATTGTATATGCATTTTTTCCAGGGAGCACCCTTGGGTTGGATCATGTAAAGCTGTGCCCGCAGAGCAGGGAAGGGTTGGTAAGAAGTGTTTTATGGAAATGGGATTGTAACATATTTAGTTTAGAGATTATAAAGCAAAGGAGGGTGACAGCCCTGTGTGTGATGATATGGGTGGATTTGACGGGTTGGAGAGAAAGGCATTTAGCCAAGAAAGATTATAAACAGGTTTCAGGAATGGATTGGCCAAGTACGTAAAATGCAGGTTTATTTCAATCTAGGTTTATGTAGTTAGGTTAATGCAGGTTTATTTCAGTCTAGGTTTATGTAGTTAGGTTAACAGAAAGGGCTGTGAACTGCTGGATTTGTGTGGACAAACAAATTGAACAGTTGGAAGAAAGAGGGGCAATGTGTGAGGCTGACAACAGGCCCGACAGCCAGAGGTTGGGGGCAGGGACTTAGAGTACCCCACAGACAAAGAAGACAAAAGGAGAAAAAGGAGATGTGAAAGATTGAACTTTTAGAAGGCCCTTCAGCCATAGCTCCTGGATGAATGTGAAGAACTGGAGTTGACTATTCAGGGATGTGGGAGGGAAAACCAGGAAGGATCAGAAGCAAGATATGAGATAAAAGATTTAAAATTCGAGATGGATCGTGTTATGGACTAGGGCCTTCTAGATCAGCAACTTCTGGAATTTTTATTAAGTGCAGTGAAATTGGTCCTGTAAGGGAGGAAGAATATTTTGGGATGAGGACATTTCTGGATGTGGGTCTGGTCCTTTTTTTAATTTGGAATGGTATGTCCAGTGTGGAAAGAATGCTAGCTTTGCCGCCGTGGGAGTAGCTAGGATAACCTGGTGAGGGCCCAAACACTGAGGCTGGGAGTCTGTGATCCAGACCCAGTCCCCTGGTTGTAGGGACAGTGAAGAATATTTTGAGAATGAACTTTGAGGCTGGGGCAAGTAAGTGTTAGCATACTGTCTTATTAGATGTGTGATATATATTGCCTCTAAACCTTGATGAGTTTTATACCTTTTTTTTTTTTTTTTGCTAAGTGATTTTTTTCTTAGTGGTAGGAGTTTCAAGATATAACTTGTCCTTTACCTTGGAGATGATATTCTGGCATATTTGAGGCCACTGGATCGCTGAAGACTTCACTTATATGGCTAGTCACTGACACTTTGTAGACTTTCTCTCCCCCCTTCCCCCACTTGGGAGTGCTGTATTTTTGCAGGGCATCCAGTGTCCTTGCTCCTTCTGGCTATTCAGCTTTAGTTAATGTAGCTTATAGTGAAACAATGTGATGTTGCAGGTAATCAAGATCCTTTCAGGTTATCTTGTGAAAGAGGCTGGCGAGTTAACTATTCCTTGACAAAACTGTGAAAGGAGTACTGTTGTCTATCCCAAGTTAATGCAAACTACTTAAAATCCTCCTTTCCAAGGGCTCTTCCAAAGAACACACTTGCCATATCAATACCTGTATAGGAAGTAACAGAGCCTCCGTTGATGTGTTACATCTGGCACACCATACACAATTAAGATTACCACTGGAGCCCATCTGTGGTGATCCTCCGCCATCTGCCACAATCTGTTTATTCTGGGGCCATGTTGGTGAGTCCAATGGGAATACAACAGAGATCTTTGCTCTGGCATCTGCTAAGTCTTTACAAATGGAATTACTGTCAGCTGTTCCACCTGGGATGTGGTATTGCATCTGAATTACTAATTTGGCAGGATTGGGCTGTTTTGAGCATTTTCTTCTTTATTTATTTTATTTTTTTATTATTTTTTTTAATAAGACGGGATTTCACCATGTTGGTCAGGCTGGTCTTGAACTCCTGACCTCAGGTGATCTGCCTGCCATGGCCTCTAAAGTGCTTGGATTACAGGCATGAGCCACCATGCCCGGCCAAGCATTTTCATTTAAGCTTCAATGATATTAAATCCTGAGTCACAGCAGTGTGCCCTCATATTAACAAGCTCTCCCTTATCTGGACTTACCTTCTGCCCCCCAAAACCCTGGTCCCATATTCTAGTCATGCTCTCCTTGTCCCTTCCACTTTAGCAGGGCCAGCACTATACCATTTGGACCATCCTAAGACCTGACCTAACTATTTGTCAAGTATTTAGGTTTACTATTTGTTAAGGTATTAGATAAAGTGAGGATAAAATTTGACTAAGCAGGTCAGGCACGGTGGCTCATGCCTGTAATTCCAACACTTTGGGAGGCCGACGTGGGTGGCCATGAGGTCAAGAGATTGAAACCATCCTGGCCGACATGGTGAAACCCTGTCTCTACTAAAAATATAAAAATTAGCTGGACATCGTGGCCCAAACCTGTAGTCCCAGCTACTCAGGAGGCCAAGGCAGGGGAGTCACTTGAATCCAGGAGGAGGAGGTTGCAGTGAGCCGAGATCGCTCCATTGCACTCTAGCCTGGCAACAGAGCAAGACTCCATCTCAAAAAAAAAAGAATTTGACTAAGCAAGTATTGTCTTATAAGTTGTCTGTATCAGCTGTGTTTTCTGCATGGGGATCTTCAGGAAAAGGGATGATGCCATCCCCCAGGATGGGATACTGGGATAAGGATACCAAGAAGTTTTAGGGTAAATTTCAGGCCTTGACTTTAGCATGAGACTTCCAGGACTTGACTCTAAGTCAAGTGTTTGTCTTTGTGTTTTCTGCTACTCTGACAATCAGATCCTGAGTCTGATCTTCAGAACATGTCTGCATTCTGCTATTGGAGATCAGGATATCTTTAAATGCTGCCAGGGAGATTTTTCTGACTTTCATACCATATTCTGATGTTAATTGGCCTTCTTGAGTACATCAGTGGTCATGACCACCATCAAACAGCCAAGTTCAAAGTTGTTCTAATGCCATTTCCACACATTTCTCAAATGCTAGAGGTATCGCCCAAGCCAGTGCCTTCCCTTACACCTGTATCCTATCTTTCATTCCAGTGTACCACAGAAGAGAGTCAATATTTGTAATGCTACAGCGGGCCCAGGTTATTACCAATGCTTTTACAAACATCAAGGGGGTCCCTGGGCCATTTGGCTTGTCAGTGATACAACTCTGGAAGATATTTTAAGAATCTGTATCCTAGGTCTTCTTGTGGAAACAGTTGGCTTAGGTCAGATTCTTTAGAAGCAGACCTTGAGATGAGGATTCCTATAAAAATGATTTATTAGGATATATTTCCAGGAAAACCTGGCTGAGGAAAGCATAAGTAGATCTGGAAAGGATATAAAGTAAGGTCCAGTTCAGTTCTTAGGGGATTCTGGAGATAGTGTGGACCTTGCTTGCCAAGCAGAAGCAAGGGTGTTAGATCATTTATATCTGTGTAGTGATGACATAACTGAGGGCTATTCTCAGGCAGATACCAATTCCCAGGCACACCCAGTTGGCAAGCAAAATGGCTCCTGCAGTCTGAGGGAGCCTGCTAACAGAAAAAGTAGGTTCTGGGTGTTGGGAACAAAAGAAAGCTCATCAGGATTTGGTACGTAGCGAAATGGTAAAAGGAGCTGAGGGGATATGGGTGGAATATTGAGTGTGTGCTATAATAACTGAATACAACTGAGTATTTTTAAACTTTGATGGGAAAGAACCTCTAGATTGATTTATTTCTGCACTTCCGCACATATACTGAACCTATAGTTAATGTGGGGATTGTCTCAGACCAAACCCAGCTATTTTCATCTCTAATATTCAATAACATCGATACATGCCTGGTGCATGGAGAAGTCCAGTAGAATAGGAGTCACTAGGAGCTTCTTCATTAGTGACTAGAGAGTCCCTGGGAACTAGGAAAATCCCTAAGAAAGTTACGCAAAGGAATAATGAAGGCAGACACACAATTTCGCTATTAGTGATCTATTGACAATGGTACAGTAAATAGAAAATGGAAGAGTAAAAGTGAATGTATGGTTCAGACGTTAGGATCTCTGGAAGAGGGTGGCCGGTGGGTAAGAACTAAAGGAGCGGCTTTACCGAAAACTTCTCCAAGACATTATAGACAAAGCAGTTCTGCTCGGCAACTCATGCAGTGAATTGGAGAGAGAAAATTGGAAGATGCCAGTGCTTCAATTTAGTTCACCAGATATTCATTAAATACTGACACTGAAGGCTCAAAGAAGCATGGCTCAGCCCAGGAACATCAGGATTTTAGCTGATTGACAAGGTTAAAGATCTTTCATTGGCATGGACCATTTCCAAGGTCCTGGTGGGGAAGAGGACGCTACTGATATGTTTACATAGTGTCATATTTTTGAAAATTTCTAGAAGTAAGATATTTTAACCACAATTGTTTAAAGTTACTGTCTCCATCCTATTGGATACTATGTTCATGGAATGGTTCTTGGAATTTCATGATATGGTGAAGGGAAAGCTGCAGTGGGAATGTAATTCGTTAGGACTAAAATTTGGGATACATTTATGTGGTTTATTATTATTGCTAGCTACCTTGGCATAGGAACAACTTCCTGGAATACTTAAATCATCCACTGTGCCTGTGTAATGGGATATCCAAATAATGGAAAAGAGTAAATCAAGTGAACATATTGGAATTGGTTTTAAATTTTGTATTGACTTTGCACACAATCTTGACATTGCAGTGATAACACAAAACTCATAAAAATGAGTCCTTCATTAGGATTCCCCAAAATATTTGAGCTTCGTTGGAGGCTGAAGATTTTACAGAAGCAAACTGTGACTCGAGTCACATAGACAATTTTCCCCCCTCTAAATGTGAATCATTCCCTGATCCCTGTCCAAGGTTGATATTGCCTGGGGAAACAAAGGTTTCACAATGCATATCATTGTCTTTGAATATCACCTAAAATTTTCCTGTCTTAATAAAACAGCTCCCTAGTTTTACCTTTAAGCAGTTTACTCTCAGTATCATGTGGATTATACATATTTAAAAATTCACATTAAAAACGACTAGATGAAAGATGCTGCACTAGAAGCTGTGTGTGTGCTCAGTAATGATTTCTGAACATGAGGTCATGGGAAGGGAGGTCGGAGTGTATGGATAAAAACAACCATAGAGAAAAGAATAACAAACAGAAATCCATCCTAAGATGGTCATATGTGTGCCAGGTAACTGGATCTTTACTGAAAGAACCTGGTCACTTCTGGACAAACATCCCCAAATGGAGAAACTGAAATGTGATGAAGGTGAGCACATATGAAGAGCAGAAGGGGAGCACTCCCTTGCCCTTGGTTAGAACAACAATGAGATGAGTGCCCCCATGCAACGATCCTGCAAGATCTGCACATTACCCCAGAACTTAAAGCACAATAAAAAAAAATGGGGTGAGACCCACACTTTGAGAGAACGTTCTCAAGTGCCCTCCTTCCTTCAGGATTCTACATTCAGATGGTGTGGCGAAATACCAGCTCATGAAGTATGCATCCCTCTCTGCTGTATTCCCATTTCCTTTACCAAATTTTGTGAAAATATTTCTCTTACTCTCTCTACCTTCTCATTCCGCTTCACTCCCCAACAAACTGCACACTGACCTGTGCACTCATTTATCTGCTAAACGTACCATGAAAAAGCGACCAAGAATTCCTGATCACAGGTGACTGAGTTCCTTTTCTGACCTCATCTACTTGAACTTTTTCACTTCACTTGTTATTGCTGATCAGTCTTCTTTCTTAAAAGGCCATGTTGGCTGGGCACGGTGGCTCATGACTGTAATCCCAGCACTTTGGGAGGCTGAGGCAGGTGGACCACGAGGTCAGGAGTTCAAGACTAGCCCGACCAATACGGTGAAATCCCATCTCTACTAAAAATACAAAAATTAGCTGAGCATGGTTGTGCATACCTATAATCCCAACTACTTGAGAGGCAGGAGAATTTCTTGAACCTAGGAGGCAGAAGTTGCAGTGAGCTGAGAATGCACCATTGCACTCCAGCCTAGGCAACAGAAAGAGACTCCATCTCAAAAAAAAAAGCCACATCCGGGAGTTTTCAATGAGAGCTGTACTCTCCTATTATTTTTCACATGTACACACCTGACTCTTTCACCTCTGATATTTGTGGACATTTCTTTTTTTGCCCCTCCTTAGATGTTGGCATTCTGTCTTAGCTTGGCTTGTGCTTTTCCATTCACGGGCTCTTCTTGAGCCATTTGGTCTAAGCTCAGGTCTTCAGTACTGACCATATGCATTTTTTGTCTTTATCTTTTTCTTCAGTTCACTCTCTTTCTGCTAAGTTTCAGATTAATGATCTGGCCCCTTGTTGAGCTTGCTGTGTGGCTTGAATTATGTTCCCTCAAAATATGTTGAAGTCCTAATCCTCAGTGTCTGTGAATGTGACTGTATTTGAAGATGGGGTCTTTGCAGATGATCAAGTTAAGATGATGTCACTAGAATAGACCTTGATGCAATATGACTGATGTCCTTATAAAAACAGGACATTTGGATACAGAGACACATGTGTACAGAGAAGAGATGGTGTGAGGACTCAGGGAGAAGGCCAACTACAAGCCAAAAGATGTCTGAGCCTACCAGAAGCTGAAAGAATAAAAAAGACCTAGAACAGATTCATCCTCAAAGTTCTTAAAAGGAACCAACCATGCAACACCTTGATTTTGAACTTCTAGAGATTTAAGATAATAAATTACTTTGTTTGAGCAACTTAGTTGGTGGCACATTGTTAGAGCAACCCCAGGAAGCTAATACACATGCTCACATGATTATCCCACTATTACCACTAAGTCAACATGTCCCAAAGTCAAATCATGATCCTCCTGCCTGAAAAGGGCTCATTTTGCTACATTCCCTGGCTTAGTTGTTCAGACCACTCTCTATTCATTCTCTCGGGTCAGAGACCCAGGACTCCTTGACATCTTTCTTCTCCTGCATCCATCTAGTCAAATATCATGATCTTCCAGTTCTGTCTTATGACATTTTTCATGTCTCTCTTCTCGTCTTCATCTCAGCTTTTTCTGCCCTCACCACTGCTGAGGTGAGTTCAGTCCTCACCACTGCTGTGTAGACCACTGCACAGATGATCTTCTTGATTCTCAAATTAGGTCAGAGTTTTCTATCTAGAGAGAAAATCTGCCCATGTCAGTATTGCTATGATGCCTGTCATATTGCTTGTAGGTTACACCTTCAACTCCCTAACACAGCAAACAAGACTTCCTTACTCTGGCCACTCCCACTTCCCTATACCCATCTCTCCTTTCTTAACTGATCATGCGGGCAAGTGATTCCCTTCAGAATCCATCCTGCTTCTTGCTTTTACTCTTTTGTACAAGTTGGGCTCCAGTGTAGAAAATCTTACCATAATACTACTCACCCAACATTTAGCTTGGGAATTACTGACTGAAGGAGATCGCCTCTGTGTTCTTCAGCTTGGAATCAGAACTCATCTGGTCTTTCATGATGCCCTACATGTGTACCTACAACAGTGTAGTGCTCTCAGTTATTGTGTCTGTCCTCCACATTAGAATGGAGAAGAATGACTGTGCCTCCTTTACACCAGTGTCCCAAGATTACAGAGTCTGGAAAATAACAAGATCTCAGTAATTATTGTGTTTATTCAAGCTTGGCCCTCTAAATGCTTGTCCTGATTTTTCACTCAGAATTATTGTCTATCACATTGCCTCTATATGCAATGACTCAATGGCTCTAATCTTTAATCTACATGGTGGAAATCAGAACAGTGGTCAACCCACAACAACCCAATTCCTGAACTCACTAACACCCACAAATTGCCATTTTACAAAAATACGAATTCATTCATATTTGAGCTAAATGATTGAACTACTGAATTATTTGGATCTCAGAAGAAGAAAAATGACAGACTTACACTGGGTAGTTTGTGGACAGTGTTGAAAATCACAATTTACACAGGAGTAGGCAGGTGGCAGGGAAACCACAAGAGATTCTGGAGAACCCCACAGCTTGAAAAATAAATGCAAATAAAAAAGGCTGAAGGGACAGAGAAGAGAGAAGTTACTGTAACATGTGGAAAGGGCTGCCTTCCAGGAGCCATGAACTGTAATAGAAAGCCGCCTGCAGACCCCAAAGGAGAGACTGTCAGATATAAATACTCCCTAACCCTACCTATGTAAAATCTATCAGAAGCCAATCGACAAGGGAGTACAGGATGCAGTCTGTATGGGTCAGCATCTGGGGCCTGAGCAGGATGGAAATAAATGGAGACCATACAGAGAAGAACACATGGACAATATACAACCCAACAAATAGAAATTAATGTTAATTTTCACAAACAAGAACTATCATTGTTTTAGTGATGTTGCTACCCTGGATTAAAAGTTTTAAAACATTGGTTCTTGTATCCAGAAATGGAATCTAACATACTGGGTCCCATAGAGCAAGCTCTCTTAATCCATTATTTATTCTATGAAGATGACAACTATGTTCTTAGTTATCATTTTATTTGAATTTTTATTTATCTATTTCTCTTAGAAAAAGAAGTTTGAATAAAAGAAGGAACTGATCTCATATTTGAAAAGAGCCACAGGAAACAAAATTCTTTTCACTGGTATTTTCATTGCTGAAGCCTTCTACTTTGTGAAATACTATGCCTAATGACTTTTCCATCCAAGGTGGGATAACTGAGAAAGGAAAATGACATAGAATTAAAAACTTCAAATAGTGCTTCTCTGGCTATAAGCACACATGAAATCATTATGCTTTACCTTCATAAACGAGTCAGTTTCCTCTCTTTAGCCCAGTCTTGGACGTCTGCTTCTCCAAATATGAAGTAGAAGATTACTCCTGCCAGGTTAATGGCAAACAGCAAGAAGAAGACATTCCTCCACCCAAACTCAGGGTCCTGGAGACACAAAACTCCAAGTGTAAATTACTTTTCTATGAAACATTATATTAATAGTTCAGATGGCAGCATTCACTAGTGTGTTTCCATGTAGACATTCATTTCCTGAAAGCGGCTCGGAAGTTAAGTAGGAAGGCTTTCAAAATACATTAAGAATGTTCTTAATAAAGGGCATTTTGGGAATTTTGTGATTAACCTATAGAAATGCATTTGTCACTATTGATCCAAGTGCCGTACATTTTCTCCTTTGCATGAATCTCGACTACATAAGCTATGCTGAGAATACTGTCAAGATTCTTACTACGTTATGCTGCTATTGTGAAAAGATTATGGGCTTTTGAGCTATGCATGTTTAAGTTTGAAGAATTCTGATTGTTCATGCTCATAGTGGAAAGACTTATGCTAACAGATTTTCAGCTTAATTTTTAAGAAATTAAAATAACATTCTATGTTTATAACTGGTATGAGAATCAATAGTTAAATGAGTTGACCGCATATGAAATACCTATGCGTACATCACACACTTAATGTTTACTTTCATTATCCTCTTTTTGGCATGATGATGCAAATGAAAATTTTTTAATGTCTAGTTATTTACCATTTTCTAGAAATTTTGGGTTTTTCAAATCAATTAAAATGTAAAAGGAACTATTTTATCACTATTTGAAATAGATAACGAGAGAAGTACTTGCCTTCAATAAAAAGCAACCATAATGAATGCAATGAAACTAAAACACTGTTATTAAATTCTAGTGAAAAGAAAACAATATTCACAGCAGCCTTATTGATAATAGCCAAAAACTGGAAACAACTCAAATGTTCATAAAAGTACAATAGATAAATTGTGATGTAGCCACAAAATGAGAAACTACATAGCGGTAGAAAAGAATAAACTATTATAACATCCAATGGATGAATCTCAAACACATGATGGGTGAAAGAAGCTAGGGTATGTGCTATATGATTCCGTTTCTGTGAAAGGCAAGAATGGGAAAATCTAATCTATGAAAACAGAAGTCAAGGTAAAAGTTATAACTAGAAGGGGTACTGACTGGAAAGGAGCACAGAAGAACCATCTGGGTGATGTAAATATTCTTTTCTTTTCTTTTTTTTGAGACACAGTTTTGCTCTTGTTGCCCAGGCAATAGCGCAATCTCTGCTTACCACAACCTCTGCCTCCTGGGCTCAAGCAATTCTCTTGCCTCAGCCTCCCGAGTAGCTGGGATTACAGGCATGCGCCACCACGCCTGGCTGTTTTTGTATTTTTAGTAGAGACAGGGTTTCTCCATGTTGGTCAGGCTGGTCTCGAACTCCCAACCTCAGGTGATCCGCCCGCCTTGGCCTCCCAAAGACTACAGGCGTGAGCCACTGCACCCTGCCGGAAATATTCTTTTCTAAAAAAAACTTTTGAGTTCAGAGACACATGTGCATGTGTGTTAAATAGGTAAACTCATGTAATGGGGGTTTGTTGTGCAGATGTTTCATCACGCAGGTACTAAGCCTAGTCCCCAATAGTACTTTTTCTGACCCTTTTCCTTCTCCTACCCTTCACCCTCAAGTAGGATTCAGTGTCTGTTGATCCCCTCCTTGTGTCCATAAATTCTCATCCTTTAGCCTCTACTTATAAGTAAGATCATGTGGTATTTGGATTTCTGTTCCTGTGTTAGTTTGCTAAGGATAATAGCCTCTAGCTCCATCCATTTTCCTGCAAAAGATATGATTTCATTCTGCATAGTATTCCATGGTGTATGTGTTTTCTATTTTCTTTATCCAATCTGTCATTGATGGGTATTTAGGTTGATTCCATGTCTTTTCTATTGTGAATAGTGCTGCAAAGAACATATGTGTTCATGTGTCTTTATGGTAGAATAATTTATATTCTTTGGGGTATATACCCAGTAATGGGATTGCTGGATGGAATGGAAGATCTGTTTTTAGCTCTTTGAGGAATCGCCACACTGCTTTCCACAATGTTCAAACTAATTTATACTCCAGCCAACAGTGTATAAGCATTCCCTTTTCTCTGTAACCTCTCCAGCGTCTGTTATTTTTTGCCTTTCAATAATAGACATTCTGACTGGTGTGAGATTATCTCATTGCAGTTTTGATTTGAATTTCTCTAATGATCAGTAATATTTAGCTTTTTTCATACGTTTGTTGGCTGCATATATGGCTTCTTTTTAAATTTTTTAAATTTAATTTTAATTTTATTGTTTTTTAGTGTTATTATTTCCATAGATTTTTGGGGAACAGGTGGTATTTGGTTACATGAATAATTTCTTTAGTGGTGATTTGTGAGATTTGCGTTCACCCATCACCCAAGCAGTATACACTGAACCCGATTTATAGTCTCTTGTCCCTCACCTTCTTCCCACAACTTCCCCCCAGTCCCCAAAGTCCATTATGTCACTCTTGTGCCTTTGCATCCTCGTAGTTTAGCCCCCACTTATGAGTGAGAACATATGATGTTTGGTTTTCCATTCTTGAGTTACTTCACCTAGAATAAGAGTCTCCAATTCCATCCAGATTGCTGTGAATGCCATTAATTTGTTCCTTTGTGAGTAGTATTCCATATGTATGTGTACACCACAGTTTCTTTATCCACCCCACCCATTGATTGATGGATGTTTGGGTTGGTTACACATTTTTGCATTTGCAGATTGTGCTGCCATAAACATGTGTGTGCCAATAACTTTTTCGTATAATGATTTATTTTCTCTGGGTAGATACCCAGGAGTGGGATGGCTGAATCAAATGGTAGTTCTACTTTTAGTTATTTAAAGAATCTCGGCCGGGCGTGGTGGCTCACGCCTATAATCCCAGCACTTTGGGAGACCAAGGCGGGTGGATCACGAGGTCAAGAGAGCGAGACCATGGTGAAACCCCGTCTCTACTAAAAATACAAAAAATTAGCTGGGCATGATGGTACGCGCCTGTAATCCCAGCTACTCAGGAGGCTGAGGCAGGAGAATTGCCTGAACCCAGGAAGCGGAGATTGCAGTGAGCCGAGATAGCGCCATTGCACTCCAGCCTGGGTAACAACAGTGAAACTCCGTCTCAAAAAAGAAAAAAAAAAAAGAATCTCTACACTGTTTTCCCTGATGGTTGTACTACTTTACATTCCGGCCAGCAGTGTAGAAGTGTTCCCTGTTTAACACATCCATGCCAACATCTATTATTTTTTGATTTTTCGATTATGGTCAACCTTTCAGGAGTAAAGTGGTATTGTATTATGGTTTTGATTAGCATTTCCCTCATCATTAGTGATGTTGAACATTTTTTCATATGTTTGTTGGACATTTAGTTGGGAAAGGAGGTCCTATTCAACAAATGGGGCTGGGATAATTGGCAAGCCACATGTAGGAGAATGAAACTGGATTCTCATCTGTCACCTAATACGAAAATCAACCCAAGGTGGATCAAGGACTTAAATCTAAGACCTGAAACTATAAAAATTCTAGAGAATAACATTGGAAAAACCCTTCTAGACATTGGCTTAGGCAAGGATTTCATGACCAAGAACCCAAAAGCAATGCAATTAAAAACAAAGATAAATAGCTGGGACTTAATTAAACTAAAGAGCTTTCGAACAGCAAAGGGAACAGTCATCAGAGTAAATGACAACCCACAGAGTTGGGGAAGATCTTCACAATCTATACATCTGGCAAAGGACCAACATCCAGAACCTATGATGAACTCAAACAAACTAGCAAGACAAAAATAAACAGTCCCATCAAAAAGTGAGCTAAGGACATGAATAGACAATTCTCAAAAGGAGAACGTTTATGTCTTCTTTTGAAAAGAATCTGTTCATGTTCTTTGCCCACTCTTTAAAAGGTTTGTTTGTTTCTTGTGAATTTAAGTTCCTTAGAGATGCTGGATACAAATTCAAAATATTGCCGAAAACATAGCGGGTTGGCATTTATGCATGTAATCGTTATCCCAAGACACCTATGCAGCTGTGTGCTTTCAGTTTCAAAGACAGCAATCACTGTTTAGTTCTTTGCTTGAGAATGAACCAGGCTTTAGGTCACCAAAGAAATTATTCTGTATTTTCTTTATCAGATCCATCTTCATGACAAAGTTACCCACAGTTTAAATTTATTTTTCAATCTTTGAATACATGCTGTCACCTTTATATATGGATTTAGCAGAGCATTTTTGGAGTCCTTCATGACAAGAAAATTGTACCTGATTAAGAAGAAATCCACCGACAGTGGGTACAATGATAGGTGCCATGCCCGAAAATGATCTTGATGCTCCTATGAGAAAACTGGAATGCCTGTGGGTAACAGGAATGTTCCAATCTAGATCCAGAGATGTTTGACAGTACTTCCTTCAGCCCTGATCCATGTATGAATCTATAACTCAATTATAGTTTATAATTCTATACAATTAGACAATTATAGCAAAAAGGACTTACATTATATATATTCAAAGAGAGATGAAGACAAATCAATAGCCCTCCCTCAACATCTCTATGAAAAATGGCCACAGGTGTATCTTATCTGTGGTCCTTCCCTATGGTTTATTCATTTCCTAAGTTTGGAGATTCTGGAAAGCTGAAAGCTAAATATTTTTAAGAAAATGTGAAACTGACAGTGAAGATCAGAGTCCTACCTTGGAGCAATATCTAAGGCATTGACATAAATCCCTGACTGACACAATGTACTTAATCCACCTGAGAGCGTCAGAAAGGCAGTTGCTGTGATATAGCTGGAACTGAGGTAGGGCAGAGACACAATGAGTACTGAAGAGGGGAGATTTCCTAGGGAATGAAGAACAAACAAATTAAACAGTGAGAAGCCTTGTTTGGCTGTTGTCTACTTTGCGAATTATCTGCCCCTCAGGCTCTGTTCTTACCTAAAATTGTGGCAAGTTTCCTCACAGTGATGAGTCTAAAATTCTTGGTTAGGAGGAAATCTGCCAGATAGCCTCCCACCACACCGATGATGTAGGCGACCATAAAAGGAAGGGCAGATAGGAGTCCGTTCTAAAGAGAAAATATTGAGTAAATTACCATAATAAAGGCAGTGAGACCACAACTTCTACTGATAAATCACTACTAAACATACTGATATTCTGAAATCATACTTTCTTAGAAAAATCAGTAACCTCTTAAATCATACCACCAGAAAAGCTACTGGCATGAGTGTTGAATATTAGATTATTTTTGGTAATAAGAAACACATTTCTGTAGATGGAATGATTTGTGAAGGCAGAGTAATTGGTAAGCCATGCAAACAGGAGAAAGGGAGGGAAGAAAACATACTCACATCTCTGATGTTAACGTGGTACACAGAGCTGATGTAAGTTGGTATGTATATAACCAATGTGCTAATTAACCACTGATGGCTGAAAGAGCATAAACATATGGACCAAATGGGTAGAGATCTGAGCATAGCTTTGATGGGAAGAGGCTGCTTAGAAGACCTGACCTGAAAACGAATTTACTGGTCAGCACGGTAAGATCTGAGAGATACTCACACATACTTAGTCACCCTTAAAAATCCAGATTTAAGGTCACAGGAAAAAATCCAAATACAAGGCCTCAGGAAATTGTTGGCATCTTTATGTGTACCTGTTGTTTCAAGGAGGATATGATGTATTCTTTTTCTGAGGTGCTTATCCATGGGTGGGAAACAGGGTCATCATAAATCACAACAAACCAGGTAAGGCAGCAGACACAGCCAACACCCCCTGCAAACACAGGGTAAATTTGGTAAATGGGCTGTTTTCTGCCTTTTGGGTGGATTTCTTTTATGTTGGGATGTTTTCTGGTATAAGTTCTAGGAAAAGCTCATGCTCATTATATCCCTTTTCCCTTTTTTAAACAACTCACCCATTTTACATTTCCTGTTTATTTGTGTGTGTGTAAATCGCACAGCCTAAAAGTGGCATCACATTTGATATCTCAGTATTTTTAATATTAGCCATTCTGATAAATGTGTGGAGATGTCTTGTGATTTTTATTTGTATTTCTTAAATAACTAAGAATGAGTTATCATTACATCTTTTCATGTGCCTGTTTTCCCTCTATCTCTTTTTGGTGAAGTGTCTTTGCCCAATTTTTAATTTTTTTGCTATTATCAAGCTTTGAGAATTATTTACAAATTCTGACTAAAAGTCCTTATAATATATATGTTTTGCCAGTATTTTCTCTCTGGGATCAACTAGTCTTTTTATTATCCTAACCATGCCTTTTGATGAGGATACATTTTTAACTTCGATGAAATCCCAATTTATCAATTTATTTTATGAATCATTCTTTTGGTGTCGTATTCAGGATATCTTTGCTTAAATAATAAAGATTATCTCCTACTTTTTTCCTAGAAGGATAATAGTTTCAAGTTTTATATTTAGGTCTGGGATTCATTTTGGTTTAGTTCTTATATATGATACAAGGTATTCATTTTTTTTTTCATGTGAATATCCAACTTTTGAAAATCTGTTAAAGCGATTATCCTTTCTCTAGCTATTGAATCTTTCCCAAAGGTCAGTTTGCTTTACTTTATATGAAGTAAACAGAACCATGAGTCTGTGATTCTATTTTGTTCTATTGATCTATTTGCTTATAACCTTACAGTATGTCTTGGCATCAGGTAGTGTTTGTCCTACGACTTTGTAATTTGTTTTCAAAGGGATTTGGCTATTCTAGAATCTTTGTATTTCCATAAAAATTCAGTTTTCCGTACCCAGGCCTCACATACCTTTTGGCAGATTTATCCCTATGTTGCATGTTTTTATTCTATTGAAAATGGTACTGTCCTCTTTAATTGACATTTCTGATTATTTCAGCTTTTGTATGTTCAGAAGACATCTTTATTTTGCAGTTGATTTTGAAACAGTTCTTTTCCACTGTGTCTAGAATTCTAGGTTGACAGATTTTTGTTTGTTTTCTGGCACTATTTTAAAGATACCGTTTCGCTGCCTCTCTCTTGCATTACTTCTGATAGGAATGCTGCGTTCGGCATTACCTTTGTTCCTCTCTCTACAATACATCTTTTAGCTTTGGCTACTTTAAGATTTTCTCTTTATTTCTGGTTTTGACCCATTCGATTAGAATGTAATTTGATGTAGTTTTCTTTATGTTTCTTGTGTTTGAGGTTCATTGACTTTTTTGGATCTATAAATGTATAGTTTTCATCCAATTTGGAAAACTTTTGGTCATTGGTTCTTCAAATATTTTTGAAGAAATGTTGTTCTCCCATCCTACTCCTCTATTTTAGGCACTCCACAACTTACTGATGTTCTCTTATTAATACTATATTTTTCTCTGTGTGGTGTATTTTGGATGATTTCTATTGTTGTTTTTAAGTGCATTGATCTTTAATTGTTTCTAAACTGTCATTAACTCCATTCAGTGCATTTTTCATCTCAGATATTGTACTTTTCATCTCTGTAAGTTTTATTGGATCTTCTTTATATTTACTACGTCTCCATTTAACTTAACATATAGATTTATGCTATAATATGGTTATAGTAACTATTTTAATGCCCTTGTTTGCTAGTTCTAAAATCTCTGTCAGCTCTGGTTGGTTTTGTTGAATTCATTATTCATTATAAGTTGTATTTTTCTCCTTTTCTTCATGTCTGATAATCTATGCTTGGAGCCAAACATTATGAATCATGTTCAGCCGGGTGCCAGACAGTTTTGTATTCCTGTAAATATTTTTAAGTTTTGTTTCAGGACATGATTAAATTATGTAGAAATAGTTTGGCCCTTTTAGGTCTTGCCATCACCATTTGTTAGCAAGATCCATAGCAGTACTCCCTCTAAGGTTAATAATTTTGCACTACTGAAGAACAACATTTATGAGTATTCCATCCAATGACCCATGATTTGTGACTTTTTCAGTCTGTCTTATGAAAACAGGTACTATCTCTGATTCTCTGTGAGTACAGGCACCGTCCTCAGTCTTCACCAGTGATTTCCCTTACCTAGCCTCCAACAGTTTCTTCACACACGTAACCTGATCAGTACTCTGCTGAGGACTGCAGATAAGCTGGGTTTTCTCTGCACGCGGCTGTCCCCTCATACGTACTCTCCTTTGAACTCTACCTGTCTTATTCTTTCCAGACTCTTAGGTCTGTCTCTCCAGCTCCAGAGTTTGTGCTGGGCTTTGCCTAAGTGCCCTCTTCTGTGCCATGCCGTAGAGCTCAGTTCTCACCGATCATCGTTTTTCATCGTCTAATATCCAGTGTCTTGACCACCATTGTTTCCAGAAAACAAAAAAAGTCTGTTTTTGTTTTATTTCCAATTCCTTCATTCCAGAAGGTTTACCTAGAGTTTCCTGTTAGGCAAATGTGGACATTCAATACACTTTTATGCTCGCTGCAGGCCTCATGAAGTCCCTGAATTACATTGAATTTTGAATGCTGACCATGCCTTATATTCTGAATATACATTCTTCTAATCATGATACATTTTGTTTTTAAAATATTGATGGGTTCAATTTGCTAATATTTTTTAGGATATTTTTGTTTAGGTTCATGAGAGATATTGGTCTGTAGTTTTCCTTTTTTGTAATATCTCTGTTTGGTTTTGCTATCAAGATAATTCTAACCTTATAACAGGAGCCATGAAGTATTTTCTTTTTTTCTATTTTCAGAAATAACTTGTGTAAAATTGGTATCGTTTCTTACTTATCTGTTTGGTAAAATTTTCCTGTGAAACCATGTGGGTCTCAGGGTTTTTCTCATTGGAAAACTTTAAGCTAAAAAAAGCAGTTTCTTAACATATGGAATATTCAGGTTATCTCTTCCCTCTTGAGTGAACTTTGTTACGTGGTGTCTTTCAATGAGTTTGTTCATTTTATCTAAATGTTCAAATTTATAGGTATAGAGCATACTGTATTATTCCTCTATTATTTTTAGTGTTTTTAGGACCTGCACTGAAGTCCTCTTTTTCATTTTTGATATTGGTTATTTGTATTTCCTTTGTCTCTCTCTGTTTCTTTCTCTTTCTTTCCCTCCACCATCTGGCTAATTTGTCAATGCTGTTGATCTTTTCAAATAACCAATTTTACGTTGAACAAAATCTCTTTTTTGTTAAAATCCATTCATTTCTGCATGCATTTTTGTTATTTTCTTCCTTCTGCTTGATTTAGCTTTAATTAGATATTTTTTCTAGTTATTTTAAGGTATAAACATATCATTAATTTGAGAACTGTCTTTTCTAATATAAGCATTTAATGTTAAACATTTCTCATTAAGCACTATTTTAGTTGCATCCCACAAAATTTGATATATCGATTTTTTATTTTCATTCAATTCAATTAAAAATTTTCTCTTTTGTCTTTTTCTTTAACTCATTGGAAGTATGTTGCTAAATTTTTAAATATTTGGGGCATTTTCAGGGACTTTTCTGTTAATGATTTCTAGTTTAATTTTATTATGTTCAAAGAACACATGTTCTGTAATTTTTAATCATTTGTAGGCCATAAATTGTCTATCCTGGTGAATGTTTGAAGCACACTTGAAAAGAGTAAGTACTTTACTGTTGCTGAATAAAATGCACTTCATCTGTGTTTTTATTCTATTGATTATTGAGAGAAGAATATTAAGGCCTCCATCTTTAATTGTAGATTTGTCGATTTCTCCTTACTCTTCTTTCAGTTTTTGCTTCACGTATTTTGAAACTCTGTCATTAGGGGCATAGCATTTCAGATTGTTATGTGTTTTTGTGAATTGGTAATATTCCTTTTCTGAAGCCATTCTTGTCTGATATTGATATATCCACCCAGTTTTCTCTTGATTAATGTTTCTATGGCACATCTTTGTTCCCTGGACTCTGTACAGTCCCAAGAATCAGCAGGACTCTATCTCTGCCCTCAAAGAGCTCACTGTCCAGAAGGGGATATACATGTATCAGCAAATAAATGCAAACTGCTAAGAGGTTTGAGAGTAGAATGTAAAAGCTACTGAAGTGGAAGCTATGGAGGGAGCAGTTGTTTCTTGATTTCTTCTCTTTTCTTTTCTTTTTTGAGAAGGAATTTTACTCTTGTCACCTAGGCTGGAGTGCAGTGGCTCCATCTAGGCTCACTGCAACCTCCACCTCCCGGGTTCCAGAGATTCTCCTGCCTCAGTCTCCTGATAGCTGGGATTACAGGCGGATGCTACCATGTCCAGCTATTTTTTTAAAATTTTTTTTAGTAGAGACAGGTTTTACCATATTGGCCAGACTGGTCTGGAACTCCCTCCCTGGCTTCCCAAAGTGCTGGGATTACAGCCACTGTGCTGGGCCCATTTTTTGATTTCTAATAACTAAATGGAAGGCTCTGGGACAGATGCTGAGGTTGGCAAAATTCATGGTGTTTCATGTTTTCTCCTGTCTAAGAAACTTGAGCCTTACTCAGGATGCCTTGCTGCTGTACTTAACCTGAGACAAAACCCACAGCAGCACCTGTCTCTCTGGATTTTTTTTCTTCTATGTCTTAAACGCTGACTCGCAAGCCTGTCCCCTACTGCCTGCAATGGCAGCAGAGTATGCCTGATTACATTGTGATAATAACACATTATGGTGGGTTACTAGCACTTTATCATAGGCAGAAGAACTTCCAAATTTTTTGATGGCATTGGCTAATTATTTCCTTATATTAAGATATTGTGTTTTTCTAGTATTTATTTGTCTTGACTTACTTCCTTTGGAAAACTATACACAAATACTTACTGAGGAGAATCTTTCTGAATATGAAAATCTGGGAACTGGGAGACAGTAGCTTACCAAAGACATAGAAGACAAAAGGCCACCCAAGGGTATCAATAATGAAGCCACTTATGAGGATGGCAGTAAAGCATCCCAGTAACATTCCTGCAAAGAGACAGAAAGTAAGCTGTGGGACTCTAGACTTCCACCTGACGAGTACATCCAGATAGATAGATGACATATTACAGAGCAGTGACTCTAAACCACAAGGAGATGAGCATGTTAGAATGCACAAACTTCAAATTTATGATTTAAGAACATTTTTCTGGCAGTTCCCTATAACATAGCAGATGACTGTCATACTTCCTTTCATGTTCTTTTAATTACACAAGTCCTGTAAGCTTACTGTCAAAGTAAACTACTCCGAAGATCTGAAGTTCCTCTCAAGTGCCTTCCCAACTATTCTCACTATTCTCTCTAAAATTAACCATTAGTAACAATGTATTATATGATATATAATCGCATACATTTTTTTCTGCACACATAAATAATATATATCTATACATAGTCATCCCCTTGGTAAATGTATTTATGTAATATGTAGACAGAAAGCTAGATTTTTCTATAAATGTGGTAATAACTGTTATATTTTTATAGCTTTTTAGAATGTTCTAATATGGTAGGGTATGTTCCCTTTTTTATCACTTTTTCAAACATTTCTAGGTGATTTTTTTTTTTATTTTCCAGATGAACATTAATATTAACCCATCAAATTCTATATATGTGTATAGGAGTTATCATTTTTAAATACACAGGATCATAATGTTTCTATTGTTTTGTGACTCCATTTTTTATTCAGCAATTGGTCTTATAGGCTTTTTTATGTCATTGTAGATTCTACCTAATTATTCTGAACATGACATAATTTATTTCTTTCTCTGCAATAGAATATCAGAAGTGGACTTGCTAGGTCAAAGTCTAAGATCAAAGGCTATGTGCGTTTAAATTTTGGTAAATACTGACAAAGTACCTTACTAGAAGTTGTACCAAATTAAATTGCCAAAATATATATAGGTACACACACACACACACACACACACACACACACACACAATTTTCTCATCTCCTTGACAGCATTTAATATCCTCAAAGGTTTTCTTGTTGTTGTTGTTTCTTGTTCTTTTGTTGTTTGAGATAGAGTCTTGCTCTGTCACTCAGTCTGGAGATTTATTATAATAGTGTGATCACAGTTTACTGTAATCTCAAACTCCCGGGCTCAAGCAATCTTTCCACCTCAACCTCCCAAGTAACAGAATGACAGGTACATGCCACCACATTGGCTAACTTAAATTCTTTATAGAGATGGGAATCTTGTTATGTTGCCCATGCTGGCCTCAAACTCTTGGCCTTAAGTGATCTTCCGTCTTGCCCTCCCAAAGCACTGGATTACAAGTGTGAGCCACCATGCCCAGCCCCTTGAAGTTTTTAAAAATTGCCTTTCCAGCCAGGCACAGTGGCTCACACCTGTAATCCCAGCACTTTGGGAGGCCAAAGCGGGTGGATTACAAGGTCAGGAGTTCAGGACCAGCTTGGCCAATATGATGAAACCCCATCTCTATGAAAAATACAAAAAATTAGCTGGGTGTAGTGGCGGGTGCGTGTAATCCCAGCTACTCAGGAGGCTGAGGCAGGAGAATCACTTGAACCTAGGAGGCAGAGGTTGCAGTAAGCCGAGATAATGCCACTGCACTTCAGCCCAGGCAACAGAGTGAGACTCTATCTCAAAAAAGAAAAAAGAATGCCTTTCCAATATTAATGAAAAAGAGAGCTGGGAGTGGTGATGCCTGTAATCCTAGTGCTTTGGGAGGCTGAGGTAGGAAGATCAGTTGAGGCCCGGAGTTCAAGTCCAGCCTGGGCAAAGAGTTCAAGTCCAACCTTGTCTCTACAAAAAGTAAAAAATTATCCAGGCATGGTGGTCCCGGACTGGAGTTTCAGCTACTCAGGAATCTGAAGCAGGAGAATCACTAGAGCCTAGGAGTTCAAGGCTGCAGTGGGCTGAGATCGTGCCACTGTACTCCAGGCTGGGCTGCAAAGAGAGACTTATCTCAAAAAAAGTAGAATAAATAATAGAGAGCATTGCATTTTAATTTCCTTTTTCATAGTAAAGTTGCACATTTTTTCCTATCTTTAGCTATCATTTTTATTTCTTCTATGAACTATCTGTTCATAATCTTTTTGTCTTTGTTTATTTTGCTTGTTTAATTTTGTCTGAATTTACACAATCTCTGTGTATTGTGAATGATCCTCTGTCTGGTGTGCTGGCTGCAATTATCCTCCCATCTTTCACTTTTTAAATGTTGTGTTTTATAATTCAGCTGTAAGTTCATATGGAACCAGATCTATAATTCTACTCTATAATGACCTCAACATTTACTCTTTTGTTTAGACCTTTTCCCACCCAACAATGTAAAAAAAAAAAAAAAAAAAAAACACGTATTTACTTGTGCTGCCTCATTTAAGCACTAGTAGTCAGATTTATAATTGAGTAAATAGAAAAATTAAATAACTTGCCAAAGGTCACATTATTAATAACAGGGGAAGGTGGTGTTGGAAAGGAGATGGCCGGACCCCAGGCCACAGATACCTGGAGAGGGAAAACAGCATCTTTTTCTACCACTAAGTCCACCAAATTTGATCTTTTCCCTGAACTCTCTACCTGTGTTTTGATTATAGTGGGGGACAGTTTCCTGCACTGCGTCTATCCAAAACCAGGTCCCTTCTTGTCCTCTGGACTCTGTCTTCTCCACTCTACCCCAGGCTTGGACTCCTAAGGGTACACATTCTCTCTCTGCATCCTCACTTCTCTCCTCAGCTCGTGAATCTTTCCCATCCACATGCAAATATAGCTTCCTGTGACCCATGCCAAAAACCAACAAACATTTTTCTACCTCTTCAGAACCCCTTCCGCGTACTAATTCATTTCTCTGCTTCTCTTCAAGGCAAAACTTCTCAAAAGGCAGTGCTAACTGCCTCCATTCTCTTTCTTCTTGTTATTTCCTTGGCATCTGTCACACACACCTTCCTTGTTTTCCCATTGCTTCATGGGAAGCTTCTCAGAACCTTTGCTGGCCTGTCATTCTCTTCTATCTGAGGCCTGAATACTGGAAGGCCTCATGGCTATTCCCTTGGGTTTCTTCTCTCCTCCATCTATGTTCTTTCTCTACGTGGTCTTGTCTAGAACAAGGACTTTAAATACTATTTCTGTTGAAATACTGAGGAATTTTCAGTATGTCCTGTTTTTTCTCATATTGCTACCAAATTCTAAACTATAAAGCAATCTCCATTCAGATGCCTAATAAGTTCATGGCTAATACTGGATTTACACTGGCTCAAATGCTTAAATACACACATACAAATACATGTACATGCATTCACATCTATTATAAGTTGATATCACATGTATCAACCTGTGTGTGAGTGCTGCATCATATATATGTTCATATCTAAAGTATATTTGTTTTGTTTTTATGTTTTGGGCTTTATTAAAGTTATATCATCCTGGATGTCCTTTTCTTTTCTTTTTTTTTTCCTTTGAGACAGAGTCTTGCTCTGTCACCCAAACTGGAGTGCAGTGGTATGATCTTGGCTCACTGCAACCTCCTCCTCCCAGGTTCAAGTGATTCTCCTGCCTCAGCCTCCTGAGTAGCTGGATTACAGGCACGTGCCATGACACTCGGCTAATTTTTGTATTTTTAGTACAGATGGGCTTCCACAATGTTGGTCAGGCTGGTCTTGATCTCCTGACCTCGTGCTCCGCCTACCTTGACCTCCCAAAGTGCTGGGATTACAGGCGTGAGCTACCATGCCCAGCCTGGATGTCCTTTTCTAAGACATTGTAATGTTTTTGCTGTAGTATATGAGAATATTCATTTCTACCATAGAAAATAAATAAATTCACTTTATAATACATTAATCAAATACCGTAAGATGTGTTGGGTTTGGATTAAAACAAAGTTGTGAGATATTGATAAGCTGTGTGAATTAAAGATAAGTAATTTACTAATAATATCATGTTTGCCTTTAAACATAGATATAAAAGGATACAAAGACTAAGAGACAGACAATATTAGTCAGGTAATGACTTTAAACATGAGTCTCTGCACACTCATGAAGGTTTAGAGGCACTCAGTCAGGGCAGCGCTGAAGTTCATAGAATTCCAACGTGGCGGACTCTTTTTCAACTCTGTGTTCAGTGACTTGACTTAATCTTGAAATCAGCCACGGTGGTAGTGTTTAGAGCACAGAAATTGATAAATACTTTAAATGAGCTTATTTTCCCCCCTAAAAAGCCTGTTTAACAGCATATCAACTGCTGACTCAATATTTGTCTGGGCCTAATTCGGCACCCACTGGAAATACCCATTCTGTCCCCATGTGCTCAAGAAACACAAAGCAATGGCATTTAGCAAGTTCTTTAGGGAATGGAGCGCTGGCCAGCAGTACCCATTCTTGTGTCTTTCCCATACAGCAAGTGCATGTCATTGGCCCAGATGCCTTCCCTGTGGGCACTCCTGTTTGAACCTTAATTCTGGTTCTCAGAACCACACCATCAGTGGTAAGGATGGTACAGCAGAAAGACAGAGAAAGAATGTTTGAACACTTGAACATTCTGTATACTTCATTCGGGTCGTGGGATCCTTCTACCTACATATACTCTACCTTACATGGGTTAACTTACCCCGTTTCCACTCCTCCCCCTTACTTTTTACTCTGTGTTTTAAACTGATGTAACTGTGCAATTACAGCACCTAATTTGGTCTGTGACCCTATCGTTCCATGACCTCAGGGATAGCTTGTCTGGTAGCATACCTAGGCTACCAAGGTATGAAAGCATTTTCCTCCATGATAGACATGCTTTATTCATATAACATTTGTGTTTCTAAGATTAATCTATGTCATTTCATGCAGCTACAGTTTCTTCATTTTCACTGCTGTATGATATTATATCGTTTTTAGATCAAAGGTGTTTGGATTAATTTTTCCCATCACCTATTAAACCTGCTTCAGTTATTAAATACCAGTTCTGTTTGGTCTGCTCAGTCCCTTAGGTTATTGAGCGCCGTAACCGGCTGCAAAGTTTCCTATCTATAATAGGTGTAGCTTTTTAGGCTCCCTTAGAAGAAGATACAGTACACTGTGCCCTAGAGGCTGACAGTACTTGAGCCCTTCCACTAAAGGTAGGGGCCTTCTGGGGTAGTCCTACTCCAACCTTATGAGCTGAGCAATCCCATCCACCAGTACAACCTGCAGAGGAGCCCCAGCATCATCAAAAATGGCAATTTCTAAGCAGGCAGGTTCAGCTCACTCCACCTGCTGATGGGATTCTCCAGTAGCTTTTTGTTGGGTGCCTTCAGACAGCCAAGGGGTCAGTGCTCTCTAAACCAGGTTTGGAGGCCAGAAAGGATTACCTGCCTGGAGCCTCTGAAATAGTCCATCAACACCAAAGATGAGAAAACTTCTGGAACTTGCACCCTTGTAGGCTACTGAGATTCCTCTAGATGTTGTCATTTGACCAATTCTGGTTGTTCAGTCTCTCCATACTCAGAAGTGAGAGGAAAGGGGGTTGCCACTTTCTATAAGGTCACTGTCTTTTGTCCAAGTCTTTTACCTTTTCTTTCATACTTTCCATCTCCTGGTTTTTTTGTGCTGTATTCTGAGGTAATCCCTCAGTGTCACAGACAACATGAACTTTCTCAGTCCAAATTGCAAATGGCAAAGACTAATCCTTCAGAGTTGTGAAGGCTTCAGAGTGTGCTGTCAGTCACGGTGTGGGTGTGGCTTGTTTTCTGCACTTGAATGGTCCCTGCTTTCTTGGTCTCATTACTTGGAGAGTTACCCTTTTATTCCTCGTCCAGCACCCACTTTAGCAATCTCCTGTTTCTTAACCTTACACCATCCATTTTCCACACTTCTCCAGTATAACTTAGGCTTTTTCATCCAGAATATTCATCCAGAGCACGCTGTCCAGGCAGATCATTATCAGAAAGAAGTTCTCAGGACAATTGAGAGCAAATCCAAAGAAGATTAAGTTGAATCTTTACCTTCCATTGTATAATAGTATAAACTCCCATAAGTCAGGAATTAACATGTGAAGATAAAATGATACAAGCTGAAGAAAAAAACATGGATGGAGTTTTTTTTTTAATAACCTTTTCGTTTGTAACTCAAAATCCAGATGCCATAAAAATGATCAATTTGACCACATAAAAATATTTTCTAAATGTTCCAAGTCATGGACTAGGCAAAGTCATGCCACAAATGACAACCTAGGGAAAATAACTGAAAGTCATGTTACAGGCAAAGGACTAGTCTTTTTAACTTAAAAATACTTCATTGACATTGAGCAGGTGAAGAATCATGCAATGAAAAGCTGTGAAGGACCCAGTGGGAGAATGTTTGATTGTAGTGTACCCATTTGGATTACATGTCCTTACCTGACAAGGCGATGCTGCAGAGTCTGTTTTGTTCATGTGGAAGGCCCCATTTTACCCAAATTGCAAACTGTCCCCCAAGTATTGAGCCCTGAAATTAAAATGATTAGAGTTCTTAATGTGTGGTGCCATGTAGAAATTCATATCCAGCTCAGATTTATAAAATAGTGGGTACCTGGCTTAGGCCTTGGGCTATTCGAGTTACAATGAGGAAAGCTATTCCAAAGTCAGCTGCTGGAGGGATGCACAGAGTGAGAAATGAATTTGCAAACAAGGAAACACCAACCACTCGCTTTGTTCCTACTCTTCCAGCCAGGTATCCACTGGGAGCCATTGTCAGTATGGCACCATAGCTGACAGCACCAAAGATGATGCCTTGGATTTGAGGACTCCAGTCATACACAGGAGCCTTAGAGAAACAGAGAATGTTGTTATAAACCTTATACAGAAAGATTTTTACATACCCTAAGAAACTTCTTTACACCTTTTACTTGCTTTCAAATCACTATTTTCTCCATTACGGGTATTTTTTGTTTGTTTGTTTGGGTTTTTTGTTGTTGTTTTTTTGAGACAGAGCTTCACTCTTGTTGCCAAGGCTGGAGTGCAATGGCACAATCCTGGTTCACTGCAACCTCTGCCTCCCAGGTTCAAGCAATTCTCCTGCCTCAGCCTCCAGAATAGCTGGGATTATAGGTTCCCGCTACTACACCTGGATAATTTTTTTTTGTATTTTTGGTAGTGACTGGGTTTCACCATGTTGGCCAGGCTGGTCTTGAACCCCTGACCTCAGGTGATCCACCTGCCTCGGCTTCCCAAAGTGCTGGGATTACAGGCATGAGCCATCACGCCTGGCATCTATTAAAGTTTTTAAAAACATACTCTAGAAAAATAAATATCCAAACAAACAGCAAAAAGAAAAGCACAGATTTATATCTTGTGTTGCTTACCTTTGCAGGAAGACTCTTTGGGGCTTTATTTAGGTCACCAAATGAGTCAACAGGCAGCCCCTCAGGGGAGCCATTGAGCTGGGATTGAGGGCTTGTGCTGTTGACCATGGCTACAATGGTGATGCTCATAATGACATTTTGGGCCGTCATTATAAAGTTGCAGAAATGTAAGATGAGGGCTATTCCAAGGCGAGTAGAACATACAATAGGAACTGGAAATATTATGACATCATATTAGTACTTTTTAAAATTGAGCTAACAATGGTTTTTCACAAGATACAGTTTTAAAAGTACCTGATCATCTAATGATTGAAATCAGTACTTAAATGACACTTCTTTTGGCTTTAGGAAAGGAAGATACAAAAGAAGGAGATCATTGAGTTGAGTCAAAGGATGTTTTATACCATAGCTTTGTAAAACCCGACTTGGTCTCGGCCATTCTGTTCATCCCAGAATTTTGTCTCTCTCATTCCTAGGTGATTATGTTCTACAGTTGATGAAATTACTCACAAGTAAATACATATACATATGTGTGTGTACATATATTTAACACACATATATAAAAAGAAAATATACACATATACATATGTGCACATATTTTTAATTGCTACATATAATTTATATTACATGAAATTTGTATGTATAATTATATATAAATATATAGCATTTATATATGACATGTCTATTCATAACACACTGTATTATGTATAATATGTATAAATTTCATATATGTAAATATAATGTAATTTACACTTTGAAGAGAGTTGTCCATTGGTATAGATGTATTCCATTCATATCTTCAAGCATTGAAGATACACTTTCATTTAAATTTTGAGATTAAACTCTTAGGAAGATCCACTCATTAGAGAAATTGACACCCACAGACTATGAAAAAATAAAGTGAAAAGTGGTAGAAAAAGAAATGAGCAAGCATTCAAATAATCTGTATTTGTACATCCAGGGGAGATGGCAATTTAAGTGCAGAAATCTCATTCTCCCTCTTCCAGATCCTGGCTAAACTGTCCAAAAAATGTAAAACATAGAGCAATCTGCATTTGTGGTTGAAATTAAAGAACTCTTTAGAAGTTAAAATCTGGGAAAAAATCAGTTAGATGAGATTGAATGGTAAAAGTTTAAAGGTGTGGTTTCTACTCAGCTTCTTAAAAAGTCTTGAGCCTTATACTAAGTGAGTAAGAAGCACAAAATATGCAACACAAACACTAAATCAAATAATGTATTAGACGGTGATAAATGCTGTAGAGAAAATAAAGCAAGCAAGGGGGAAGTCATAATGACATTCCAGAGAGGTGGTCATGCAGCCATCTGGAGAGAGAACATACGCAGTAGAGGGAACAGCCCTGAGGCTGGTTGGAGAGTGCCTGGTATGTTCAAAGAATCAACGAGGCGGCTATGATAGAATGGCGTAAGCCAGGAGTACAAGAAAAGATGTCAGGAAAGCTAGATCACGGGGACTGAATTGTTCAAGACACATGGGCCATTGCAGGTATTTTGGCTTTTAGGTTGAGTGGGGCTGGGGCCACTGGAGGGTTGTCAGCAGGAGTGAGACCTGATATGACTTACATTTTGAAAGGATCTCGTTGGCTGCAGAAATAAGAACAAAACAATAGGGAGGAAGTGCAGGTAGGAAGCTATTGCAGTCATTCAGAAGAGAAGTGAAGCTGTCTAGGATACTTAAAGCCATAAAAATTGGGAAATGAAAATAAATAGAGAGGAGAACCAAAGACTAACTCGGGCTGTCAAATCCGCACAATAACACTATGAGGCAGCTCTTACAACTATTTTACAGATGAAGAAACACAGGCACAGAGACCAGCTCACAACGTAGCTCAGGTGTCTATGCTTTTAACCACTGTACCACATATATATGGTGGCTTCTGTTTTGTCCAAGACGATTCCATGAGAATACTTATGTTATTAATACAACCCAAGTGCACTCAGCTGTAGGGTTTATGTGGCTCTGTGATGTGGGATAAAGAGGTTCCTTGAGATTAACAAAGGAGGATTCCTCTTATGGCTGTGCTGTCTTCTGTTGACGAAGTACACATCTTTGTAGTGAATAAACTCAAATATAATATCTTTGTAAGTTTTTTTTTTTTTTAAATCTGATTTAGCACTGGTGGTGACTTCCTCTGTCAATCAAATTGACTAATAATTTGTGAGTTCTTGTGGCCTCTGATTTTCCCAAGTTCCTTTGGAATCCTGGGTTCCAAAGGCTACCATAAAGGGTATCAGCAAACCAACAGACTAATGGCTTACAAATGAGGAGGTTGAATACTTGACTCATGAAAGTGCTGAAAGATTAACTAGAGAGTGTATTTTTAAGTCTTAGCCTGGTGCTTGCCAGATATTAAGTGTTTCCTGCAGGCGACTATTTGTGTCCTCAAAAGTTACTTGTGTCCTGTGTTCATTCAGAATGAACTGTACCAGTTATGCCTACTCTCATAGATTGGTGCCAGTGGTGTGCTGTCTGTTAAATTTTTTGTGGTCACCCCTACCTAGCTGTACAAGAATGCATGTGAGAAAGTGTAAATTAAGAAGCACCTGACTGTATTCTATTTAACTACTAGAAGAGGGCACTGACACCATGAAATCATAGATTTTTGAACCTGAGAGGTTATATTAATGAATTCACTACTACTGTACTCAGAATCCAGGAAGCTTGTTTCTTAACTTGATGTGCCAGACAGACCTTAACGTGGCCCCAGTGATTACTACCTCATGGTATTCTCACCTTTATGTAATTCCCTTCGCTTGTATGGGGCTAGGACATTTCACTTGCTTGTATCCAATAGAATATGGCAAAGGTGACAAGATGTCACTCCCATGATTACATGATGTTATGTAAGACTCCATCTTAGCAGACTAAAGATAAACACTCTTCATATGGGCTTAATGAAGTAAGCAGAAAGTTGGAGAGGTTTACGTAATAAGGAACCATGAACATCCTCTAGGACCTGAGAATGGCCTTCAGTCAACAGCCAGAGCCCTCAGTCAAGTAGCTATCAGAAACGAATTTTTCCAACAACCTGAATAAGCCTGAAAGTAGGCTCTACCCTTCAGATAAGAACGCAACTTGAGGCAGGGCGCCATGGCTCACGCCTATAATCCTAGCACTTTGGGAAGTCGAGGCAGTGGATTGCCTCAGGTCAGGAGTTTGAGACCAGCCTGTCCAACACAGTGAAACCCCGTCTCTACTAAAAACACAAAAAAATTAGCTGGGCGTGGTGGTGCATGCCTGTAATCCCAACTACTAGGGAGGCTAAGGCAGGAAAATCGCTTGAACCCAGGAGGCAGAGGTTGCAGTGAGCTGAGATCCACTCCAGCATTCCAGCCTAGGCAATAAGAGCAGACTCCATCTCAAAAATAAATAAATAAAAAATAATAAAAGAATGCAACTTGATCAACCACCCAATTGTAGTCTTGTGAGACCCAGAGAAGTAGAACCAGTTAAGCCAAGCTGTGCCTGGAGCTCTGAGCCACAGAAACTGTAAGATGATAAATGTGTGTTGTTTCAGGTTACTATGTTTATGGTAATATGCATGCAGAAATAGAAAATGAATGCACTTGGCAAGAAATAATAAAGGCTAGTTGGATGACTATACAAGAGTTTGGAGGGAAGAAAGTATTGAAAAATACTTGCATTACAAAATTTATCATGAGTGTAAATTAATGTCTTCAAGACATTATTGTATTGAAGAATAAGAATACTCAGAAAAATCTAAGGAACAATGAGAAAACATCCAAAAGAATCATGCAGTGTGTAAAGGATGTTGTGGCAATTAATGGGAGAAAACTAGATGATGTAATTAGTACTGCTGAGATAATTGGTGACATAAATGGAAAATATTATTGGAGCAATATCATGTTTTAAATTAAAATAAAGCATAGATATAATGCAATAATACTGCATTTTGTCAAATTTAAGTCACCATTGATACATCTATTTTTGTTCCACTAAAAATCAATTGATGAATTGATTAACAGATCAAACTGAATAGGTCTGAAACTCTTGAGCTCTACCACCTCAAAACTTCTGCCCAGAGTCTTTCCCGGTTTAGTTGATGGAAATCTCATTCTTCCAAACACTTTGCAATTTTTGATCTGGAATGTATCATTGTCTTCATATTCAAAATGTGTGTAGAATCCAACAACTTCTCACAAGGGCCACGGTTACTTTTCAGCTTAGAGCTGATTCCATGTGGTTCTGGCTACCAGTATCTCCTGCCTGAATTTCTGCAGTAACCTTTAGCTTTGGTTCCTTGCTTCTAATCTATACTCAATACAGCAGTTGGAGTATTCTTATCATACCACAAATAAAATCACCTCCTCTTCTGCTCAAAATCCTCCATGTGATTTTATTTTTGTTTGGATTAAAAACTAAGGTCTCTGTAGTGGCCAAAGGAAATGAAATGTGTAAACTCTTTACCTTGCAATTTGCATTTCTTGGGAATAAACTCTGAAGAAATAATTCCAAATGTGGATTAGTGTTATGTTAAATAGTGTTCACTTATCAACTTATAGATTGTATAATAACTGACATACATAGTTTATATACATCTATTAACCAAGTAACATATATAGTCCATATATAGATATAATAACCGAGTAACAAAACAAAACCTCACAAATTAAATATCCAGCCGCAAGAAGACTTTTCAGCTAAATAATACTTCATCTGTTGGAGATGTTGGAATCTATTGGCTATGTTGGAATATAATATGTATACTTTAAGAATCTGTATTGTTTTCTAAGATTCACAAAGAGATTCACACTTTGTGAATCTTATAAAGCAATGTGGAAAAGTATGTGCTGTTAAGTTAAAAAATATACAACGCAATATATAAAGTGCAGAACTATGCAAAATATGCATATGAAATAAAGGCAATAACATTAAATTATAGTAGTTGAATTAAGCTTATTAAAATCTTTTTATTTCTTGTTTTTTGAAGTATCTAATTAATTTTTCTTACTTTTTAAAGTTAAGCAATACAATTATGTTTAAAATATTACAGGCAATAACAAGCAAGACACACAATACTATGTATAGACAGTTCAGGAGCAATTATCAAGAATGTAAATGCATATAGATAAAGATGGAAAGGTAACTGTCAAAAACGAAACACTTCTTTTTAGTAATATTTCCTTCATATTTGTAAAATATGTTAATTTCACTGGATTTATAAAAAGAAACAACTTAAAAGTTACAAATTCATTTTTCATAGTAATATTTTGACAAAAAGAACTCACTGTAAAATCCTAAAACCAAGCAGTTGGGGTTGAATTTACCTTTCCTGGGTATGAGTCCCTCATCCGCTTGCTTATCTTGGGCATACTTCCTCTCCCTTGCTATGGGGCCCAACTCTGTCTTGGTGGCCATTGTGTTTCTCCTCTCTTGGTGAATGGTTTTCACCTATCAGAGGAATATATAATTCACATACATCAGTTGAGAGAAAAGGACTCCCCTTTAACATATTTAAACAGGGGCATAAAGAAAACAAAAGCTGGCCCAATCCATCTGGTTGGGGACAGGGAGGCTCATTATTCCCTTGGCTCAACACAACAGGCATACTGCACCTAAGGTTTGAAATTGTTTATTTTATTGGGATCTAGAGTGCTCTCAGTGTGCCAGCTTACGAGCACTGGCTTTGGAGTTAAGCATTCCTGAGTTCAAATCCAGGTTCATGATTTACTGTGCCAGGTGGCACTAGGAGCACATTTGTGTGTTTCGATTTCCTCATCTGTTGTTAATAACAACAACATCTTCATCAAAAAGCTGCTGTAGGTGTAAACAGATTGCACATGCCTAGAACATTGGCAGACACCCACAGTTGATTGTCATCATCACTGGAGCTATCACAGCAGTGGGTCACCTCAGAGCTATGTCTGGAATCTTCTACCTGTACCTGATAACTTGGCTTCTACTGCCCTTGACAACTCCCACACTGCTACCTCATTTGACTCACTGCGAGTATCGCTGATATGTGTGTCACTCATAATTGGGAACCAAATTTGCATAATGAGAAGATAACGTTCAAATCTCATATTATTATTGTCCATAGGTTGGTATTGTGTCTACGGACTTGAAATAACATGGAGGTTGCAAGCTTTTTGCATGTAAGAGAACTAAAAAGAACCATTACTACATTACAATACTAGGATCTTTAATGGGGACTTTTCTGTGTTACTATATGTAGAACTGTAATATTTGTGCTGTGTTTAATGCTCATATTATTAAATTTATGAATCTCTTAAAGAAAAAGTGTCAAAATGTATAACTGCTTCTACCACTAATAAACCAAACTTTTCAGCTTAATAAATTAAATCCTCTTAAACATCTAAATACATCTCACGTCAGTTAGAATGGCGATTATAAAAAAAAGTCTGGAGACAACAGATGCTGGAGAGGATGTGGAGAAATAGGAATGCTTTTACACTGTTGGTGGGAGTGTAAATTAGTTCAACCATTGTGGAAGACAGTGTGGTGATTCCTCAAGGATCTAGAAATAGAAATACCATTTGACCCAGCAATCCCATTACTGGGTATATACCCAAAGGATTATAAATCATTCTCTTAAAGACACCTGTACATGTATGTTCATTGTGGCATTGTTTATAATAGCAAAGACTTAGAACCAACCCAAATGCCCATCAGTGATAGACTGGATAAAGAAAATGTGGCACATATACACCACGGAATACTATGCAGCCATAAGAAGGATGAGTTCATGTTTTTTGCAGGGGCATGGATGAAGCTGGAAACCATCATTCTCAGCAAACTGACACAAGCACAGAAAGCCAAACACTGCGTGTTCTCACTCATAAGTGAGTGTTGAACAATGAGAACACATGGACACAGGGAAGGGAACATCACACACCAGGGCCTGTTGGGGGGTGGGGGCATTAGAGGAGGGATAGTAGGGGATTATTTGAGGGGATTGGGGAGGGATAGCATTAGGAGAAATACCTAACGTAGGTTACAGAGCGATGGATGCAGCAAACCACCATGGCATGTGTATACCTATGTAACAATCCTGTACGATCTACACATGTACCCCAGAACTTAAAGTATAATAATTAAAAAAAAAAATCTAAACACTAGTACTTAACCAGAACTGGCCTGATATCATTGTTGCAAACTAAGGAATAACTTTTTAATATCTTTTTGTAATAAAAATTTTATTTTTCAGAGGTATGTTTCACCAAGAGAGAGGACGGCTTGATCCTATGCAGTGTGCCCCTCTGTTAGGACATGCAGTTAAGCCCTCTCTGGCTGCTGTAACAATTAGTGTTGCTTCTCTTTGCCACTTCACAATAGTGTGTGGTTACCAGATGTGGTTGGTCTTTTCTCTTCTTGGATCCCACTTTTCTTCAACTTCTTGTGCTACCTCTAGAACCCAAATCCATCCATTCTTTATGAAAATAAATTTTATAAATAGGCATATGTACTTCAAAACAAAACACAGAACATCCTTCTATTCTCCTCTACATATTCAAATTTATTTAAAAAATATCCGTAGTAATGTAGTCCTCCTTGTATTAATAACTTTTTACATTAATGTCTCCTTTTTGGACAGTCATTATGGGATCATGGTTTTAAAATGGCTCAATTTAAATGCGATTAATATTTTCTTTTAATGCTGAAATAATCCTACTTGGTTTGGGATCAGGTTCAGAGTGTGGCCTTTGGATGTCTCCTCTCTATGTCTAGCCATTTTAAATAAATTTAAATAGCATTATTGATATATAACTGACATACAATGAACCACATTTATTTGAAGTGTACAATTCCATAAGTTTTGAAGGATGTCTATACTTGTGAGATGGTTCATGCCATCAAGATAGTGAACAATATACAGTTGGCCCTCTGTATCTTTGGGTTTACATCTGCAGATTCAACCAACCATGGATCAAAAATCCAGAGGGAAAAAAATTAAAAATAACAATACAATCATAAAAAATAATACTAAAAAAATACAGTGTAACAACTATTTACTTGGCATTTACATTGTACCAGGTAAGCAAATCTGGAGGATGTATATAGGTTCTATGCAAATATGACACCACTTTATATCAGGGACTTGAATATCTGTGGATTTTGGTATCTGAGGGCATCCCAGAACCAGTCCCCTGTGGATACCAAGGGACAACTCTATAGTATCCCAAAGGTTTCCTCGTGTTATTTTGTAACGTCTTCCTGCAGTGTCTCCTAGTATTTCCCTCATTTATCCTGCCTCACCACCTCTGGCAAACAATAATATGCTTTCTCTGATATAATTTATCTTTTCTAGAAATTTTATAGAAACGGAATTGTATGAGTCTGTCCTCATACCACTAAAAAAAGACATACCTGAGACTGCGTAATTTATAAAGAAAAAGAGGCTTAATGAACTCATAGTTTCACATGGCTGGGGAGGCCTCACAATCACGGCATAATGCAGAGGAGAAGCAAACATACATCTTACATGGCATTAAGCAAGAGAGCTTGTACAGTGGAGCTGCCATTTATAAAACCATCAGATTTCATGAGACTTACTGTTATGAGAACAGCACAGGAAAGACCCACCTTCATGATTCAATTACCTACCATTGGGTCCCTCCCATAACACTTGGGGATTATGGGAGCTACAATTCAAGATGAGATTTGGGTGGAGACACAACCAAACCATAGCATTCTTCCCCTGGCCCCTCCCAAATCTCATGTCCTCACATTTGAAAACCAGTCATGCCTTCCCAACAGTCTCCACAAGTCTTAATTCATTTTAGCATTCACTCAAAAGTCCACAGTCCAAAGTCTTGTCTGAGACAAGGCAAGTCCCTTCTGCCTATGAACGTGTAAAATCAAAAGCCAGTTAGTTATTTCTCAGATACAATGGGGGTACAGGTATCAGGTAAATATATCTGTTCTAAATGGGAGAAATTTGCCAAAATGAAGGGGCTACAAGCCCCATGCAAGTCCAAAACCCAGCAGGGCAGTTGAATCTTAAAGGTCCAAAGTGAACTCCTTTGACTCCCTGTCTTATATCCAGGGCACAGTGATGCAAGAGGTTGGTTCACATGGCCTTGGGCAGCTCTGCCCCTGTGGCTTTGCAGGATACATCTCCCTCCTGGCTGCTTTCATGGGCTGGCATTGAGTATCTGCAGCTTTTTCAGGTGCACAGTGCAAGCTGTCAGTAAATAAACCATTCTGGGGTCTGGAGGATGGTGGCCCTCTTCTTACAGCTCCACCAGGCAGTGCCCCAATGGGGGTTCCAATCCCACATTTCCCTTCTACACTGCTCTAGAAGAGGTTCCCCGTGAGGGCTCCATCCCAAAGCAAAACTCTGCCTGGGCATCCAGGCATTTCCATACATCCTCTGAAATCTAGGTGGAGGTTTCTAAACCTCAATTCTTGACTTCTTTGCACCACCAGGCTTGACACCATGTGGAAGCTGCCAGGTCTTGCAGCTTGCATCCTCTGAGGCCACGGCCTGAGCTGTCTGGAGTGGCTGGGACTCAGGGCACCAAGTCCCTAGGCTGCACACAGCAGGGGGTCCCTGGGCCAAGGCCCAGGAAATCATTTTCTCCTCCTAGGCCTCTGTTCCTGTGATTAAAGGGGCTGTCACAAAGGTCTCTGACATGCCCTGGACATATTTTCCCCCATTGTCTTAGTCGTTAACATTCATCTCCTTGCTGCTTATACAAATTTCTGCAGCAGACTTGAATTTCTGCCCAGAAAATGAGTTTTTCTTTCCTATTGTATCATCAGGTTGCAAATTTTCCAAACTCTTATGCTCTGCTTCCTTATGAATGCTTTGCTGCTTTTAACCTTCTTCCACCACATACCCTAAATCATCCTGCTTAAGTTTAAAGGTCCACATATCTCTACAGCACAGCCAAAAAGCCACGTCTCTTTGCTAAAGCAGAGCAAGAGTCACCTGTACTCCAGTTGCAGTAAGTTTCTCATCTCCATCTGAAACCACAGAAACCACATCAGCCTGAACTTTATTGTCCATATCAACTGTCAGCATTTTGGTCAAATGCCATTCAACAAGTCTCTAGGAAGTTCCAAACTTCCACACATTTTTCTATATTCTTCTGAGCCCTCTAAACTGTTCCAACCTCTGCCTGTTACCCAGTTTCAAAGTTGCTTCCATGTTTTTAGTTATCTTCACAGCAGTATCCCACTCTACTGGAACCAATTTACTGTATTAGTCTGTTCTCATGCTTCTAATAAGGGCATACCCAAGACTAGGTAATTTATAAAGAAGAAGAGGTTTAATGGACCCACAGTTTCACATGGCTGGGGAGGCCTCACACTCATGGCAAAAAGGAACAAAGATATTTCTTACATGGCAGCAGACAAGAGAGCTTGTGCAGGGGAACTCCCATTTATAAAACCATCAGATTTCATGAGACTTCTTCATTACCACGAGAACAGTATGAGGGAAACTGCCCCAATGATTCAATTATTTCCACCTAGCCCCATGTTTGACACTTGGAGATTATGGGGACCACAATTCAAGATGAGATCTGTGTGGGGACACAGCCAAACCGTATCAGGAATCATAAAGTATGAACTCACTTTTCTCCTGGTTTACTTCACTCAGTATAATTATTTTGAAATTCATCCATGTTGTTGTACATATTAATAGTTCATTCCTGCTTATTATTAAGTAATATTCCATTCCATGACTATAGCACAATTTATCCGTCTATTTTTAATGAAAAATTGCATTGTTCACAGATTTTCACCATTACAAATAAAGCTGCTGTGAACACTCGTGTACAGGTCTTTGTATAGACATGTGCTTTCATTTCTCTGAAATACTTAGAAGTGGAATATCTAGATCATATGATAAATGTGGTATTAATGTCTCTTCAAGTCTTGGCATTGGGGATTCTAATTCTGTGGTGCGGCCAGGACGTTTCAAAAATAGGTCTTCCATTTCTAGGGAAATTGCCATGATTCTTTACTCAGATTGTCTAGGAGATATTTTACCAAATGACAAAGATGGGTCAACCTGCACTGTTTTATGCAACATGGCAATGCTAAACAGGAATCTGATGTTTCCATTAACAATTTTTCTCCTTTGAATGATGTTTATTCTCACTCCCCTGCTCCTTTATGATGTCGATTTAATGTGACTCTATGGCATTGAGACTTTACCACCCCCTATCATGGGGCTCTGCTTAGATTGGAGCATTCTAAAATGTCAGGTTTCCATTCTGAAGCCACTCCAAAATTATCCTGAATTAAGTGGCAGAGGGAGTTGCCCAGATCTATGGCCTCTTCACAGCGCATCAGCCTCTGCATTCTTGAGCTTGGTTAATGACAGAAAGACTGGGTGCTGCACCATCAACCACTGGCCAGGAAGAAGTGCTTCGTGAGAACATGATAGTCAGCTGAGGCCCCTACAACCCGGACTGATGACCCCCTCAAATGAACGGTATTTCTGTCATAAACAGGATCTGTTTGGTTAAAGTTATAGCCTCTTATTTTAGTAACAGGTTGTTGTGTTTGTAAACTTGCTTTCAACTGACACATAGCATGATGTTCAGAAATGATGCCCACATGTTTGAATATACCCCATGTTAGCAGCCAAGAATGGTGGCTTAAGACACTGAGTTCTCTGAACTGTTTATTGATGTTGGAATAGGTTCTTAGTTTCCTCTTCCTTAGATAGCTTGGATGAGGGCTGTGTGACACTGACTGTTGTCTCAATCCAGGAACTTAAATAGCTGCTTGATGGGAAGAATGGTTGGCTTTTTGTTTTCTACGGTTAAATAAAGATCCTAAAAAGAGAAATGAGACAACCAAACAGACATTTCCAGTTATATGAAGTTGTATCAGAGGAGAACATTATATAAACAGATGAAGGCATGAAAGAACCTGAATTAAGGTAGAGAGTTAAAACTATTCTCGGAAAGAATACTGCACAGTTGGGCAATGATGTACTGGAAACAACTCACTTGGGGTTAAAAGAGCTTATTATTAATGATTTTAGACATTTTTCAAACTAGTTGAACACTCCGGTTAACTATTGAATCATATGAACTTAGAGTTCAACTGGTTATATTTTAAAAAGGTAACACATATTTTTACTTTATTACTTCATAATTATTTCACGACATTTTACTGTAGGCTCTGCTCTTGAGGCTTTTTACATCTTTTGTATCTGTATGGTGGGAATGCTGTATAAAGATGTGTTATTGCATATCTCTCCCCAGCTCTGAATTCAGTAATGTCATGGTGGTAGCTTGGAATTGGACATGATAGGAGCTTTAACACCCCCTACGACCGGCCAAAAAAAAGGCGAAGGCTACAAATTTGGGCTTAATTTGTTGTTTCATGGACTTCCTGAACCTAAGAAATTTATCACACTATGTTCATCTAAGTGTGTGTGTTTATATGTATACACACTGCATATCTATATCCACACACACAAACTTACATGTACATATAGAAATAGATACATTATATGTATACTACATGTACATGAAACCCTGAAACATGAGCCAGACTTCACTTCCCACGGGTTTCCTTTGCAATGATATGACTTCTTCTGCAAAGCGTAGGTACTCTTGCTGAGATGACATCCTTCATATTCAGCCCCACATTTGTGTTGCTACTGCCTCTATTCATCAGTATGATCTCCAGTCTCCACAGACAGGTAAAGTCCCATGATTTCGTGCTGATCTTCCCATTTGCCTCCTGACTTTTGAAAATATTAATACTTTTTAAAGTTATCTAAGACTTCACATGACAGTCTATCACCTGCATACAGCTTGTACAAACACCCTATCTCCTAGATACTCCAAACGAACCAGGTTGTTACATCTCTTGCCAGCAGGTCTGGTCCACCCACCACACCATGACAGACACCTACTGCCATGGTAACCTCAAAACATTTCACTGACTTAAAACACTGGACTCAGGCCCTGCTGACCCTTCCCATAGCCTGGGGCTATGAGTAGAAGAAAGAGAAGTAATCTAGAGGGAGATTTCAAGGCACCCATGGGTGAGCCAAGAACAGACTCAAGTAGCACAACATAAGAAATGCAATCTCATGATCTTCTCTTAAATGTGCCCTTGCAATCAGACTGGTGGCCCTTCTACATCGTGGCTCTCCTACACGTAACCCCCTTTTGTTTCAACAGCTCTCCATGTTTTTCACTAGAAAACTGGGCTGGTTATCTGGGTCAGAATGTATATATTGCACTGTGAGAAGTTTCTTGTCCAAAGCAGTGTTCATAGGGAACTACACTGAGACAGAAAGACTCATTTATATTTATGTCAGGCTTCTTTTGTTCTGCTTGGTTTGGTTTGGTGAGGAAAGGACAAGGACCCGCCAGTAGAGATGGTTAGTTTAAAGGCAGGGAGCATCCTCCCACACATCTGTGAAGTTGCAGCTGCCACAAAAAGTTGCACCTTCTCCATTCTGACCTTGAGGACCCCCTGCTTCCCCCCTTCCCACTGCCCTCAGACTACCTACTGTCTTCTGCTGACTAGTGACTGTCCCATTGCCTCATCTCTTCATTTCCTCTCCTATCCCTCACCATTTTAGTTTGGTTAAATTTCACACCAACTCACTGGATCTTCCTGCAGCATTTCCCCAGGCGCTTTCTTGGACAAAAGCCACCCTCGCGCTTGGTATGATAGAAATAATTATTATAGCTACTGTTATAAACTACTGCACCAGCCAGTTTACATCAATCCCAGATGGAGATATTACTCACCCTCTTCCTCCAGATCGCCCATTTGGTAAATGAGACAGATGATATTTGTTCTTAGCCAGTTTGACCTGCAAAATTTTGCTTTTAAAAGCCTCATAAGAGTGCCTGTTTCTTGGAATTATCTTCCATAGCTACTATTGTCTCCACTAACTAGTTTCAAAGCATATGGATGATCAGATACAAAGCTTCAGCTTCCTGCCACTTCTCCCTCACTTTTGTTGGGCTTGTTAGTATGGATTTTTATATTTATATTTTTATCATATGAGGAAACTGGGTTGGGGAGTATATAAAAATTGTCAATTGTTATACAGAAAAGAGTCTTGGAGGTCTTCATCTCAACACTAAGACAAGTGACTTACCTACTTAATGTCTGCAGAAGGGCTTCAAGTTGAACCCAGCGTTTCCTCCAAGCTCGCTCCCTTGGACCTTTTGGAGCAGAGAGTGGAGGATTCTTTGCCAATCAGGGGCTTAAATTGCTAATCATTAATAAAAGTCATTGAACTACAAAGTTGACTGAGAAGGGCTTCATGCCAAACAGTCTTTGAAGAAGCATTCAGAAATAAATACAGCCCAACCCCCCTCTGCAGTTCTTTCTGCTTTTTGGCTGATGTAAGCTTCTCCACCTTCCCCTGTGAGTGTCTCCTCAGGACCTCAGAGGTGCTGACACTTGCATGACTTGCATGTAGTTATTTTGCTTTGCTTTGTGGTGTGTTTAATGTCATTAGTCTGTTTTGAAAAGGTTAAAAACAGATAAATTATAGTTAAATATAAGAGTTGAGTATTTTTTGTGTTTTTTTCTTTGCTATTTTTGTTTTCCCCCTTCTTTGAAATTTTGTTAATGTTTTTCTTTGAAATATGTGAATTGTAATATTATGGATAAACTTGAACTTCATTCCGTCTGCTGTTTTCTCTTTCCCTGGGTCCTTGTCCTTTCCTCACCAAACCAAACAAAACAAGCCTGACATAAATAGAATATGATTTCTCCATTATTTATATGAGCGTTCACAAACTATATATAATAATGCTTTGTATTATTTCTAAATTTGCACACATGCTACCTTGTAGCATTTGTGGGTCGTTCCATAACCACTTTGGAAAATAAGTAACATAAATTTGGCATACCTGTGTGTGCACGGTGAAGGCCAAACTCTCTCTATTTCTTGTGGTTAACTCTTGCTAACACCCACGAAGTCAAAAACACTGTCACTGCTTTCCGAGCTTGTATGTAGTTCTGCTTGTCCTTGTCTCACAGATGAGGCAAAGCCTTCAGACTCCCAGCTTTCTGCAGGTTATTTCTAGCTCCTTGAATGCCCTGGGTTCATAATCCACACTCCTTTATATGAGCATTAGAGTCAGCCATGAACATTTAAACCTTGTTCTGTGCTCTCATGACTTTCCTGGCCTTAGCTCCTACTCATCACTTTGACTTTAAGTCTTTTCTTACTTACTTTATGGCCCTGAGGAGATCACCTTTAGATTCTGAGTTTGACTCTTTATACCTATTTGAACCGTACTGTGAGAGGAAAGTGAGTAACAACCTCTCAAGACCCTGGCTGAGGAGTGGGAGCCTGGCAGGATATATCACAGATCAAGAATTCAGAAGCAGGAGCCTGGGTCCTGGGGAGTCCAAGCTACCATTTTCTAAGCGTTTATTACATGTCATCCTCACAATGCTTTCAGGTAACTTTTCTTATATTCTTTATAAAATAGAAGAAAAAAACAGATTTCTTCCATCTGTACTTTAAGAATTTAAGTATGGAAAATTTAAGTCCATTATGGTGTGGGTATAGTATCAATTTTACCTTTCTACATAAAAGATTTTTCCCTGAGTCATTTCTGAAGGACTCTGGACCCTGGGATAAATAATGATCAACTTTAGGATTCACGTTATCATAGGAAATGTTTCTGACCCTGAATTATCCAAGTCAGAAAATTTACTTGGTTTTGCAATTTAATGTTTAACTTTATTTAAAGTGCTCATGAGTTGTTTAAATGCTAAGTTGTCTCTGTGTAGGAAGAATAATAATTCCAGCTTTTCTTCACCTCTGTGATTAAACCCTTGAATATAAATTGAGATATTTCCTTGACTTAGGTTGTAATACCCACCTCTTTAAAAAAACAAATTTACATTTCCTTTTGAATAAGATTGATTTTTAAACTGCTTTGTTTTAGCTATGGGAATCATCGGAGAAGACAGGGTACACACTTCTGCTTTAACAGGTATCCTTAGCCAGGCTTGGCGCTTCGCACCTGTAATCCCAGTGCTTTGGGTGGCCAAGGCCAGAGGATTGCTTGAGGCCAGGAGTTGGAGACAAGCTTGGGAAACAAAGTGAGACCTCCTCTCTTCAAAAAAATTTTTTTTTAATTAGATGCAGATGGTGGCATGCATTTGTAGTCCCAGCTACTCAGGAGGTTGATGAGCAGGATCCCTTGAGCCCAGGAGTTCAAGGTTACAGTGAGCTATGATCATGCCACTGCACTCCAGCCTGGATGACACAGCAAGGCTCTCTCTCAATCAAAACAACAACAACAACAACAATAACAACAAACCAGTGTTCTTCAGACTTGTTTTTGTAAGACTATGAACAATGTTGTTAATAATCAGTGACATGACAACTCAGCAGGATGCAGGCTCTGATTCTGGGTTACATTTCAGAGAACTCCAGGGCACAATCCTACTGTGGTCATAGGAAACCTGTCTCTAGTCTTCCTACCTACAGGAAGCCCAGGATGGGCCCAGGCAGAGGAAGCATCTTTCAGATTCACACCCTCCCTCAAAGCTCACAATGTCCAGTAGGGATTCTGATGACTCAGGGGCAGCTGTCAAGCAAAAACACTGAATGAGCCTGAGTCTTGACTTGACTAAATGGCAGTGAACAGAAGACTTGACTAAATGGCAGTGGTCATTCTCTGGAGCTTGGCTGCTTTTTCATGCACACTCTGCTCTAAACAATGAACCTACATGTGATGTTATATCTGCTCAGAACCTTACATCTTCATGGTTCTGGTAAATCCTTTTATAGTCAGACTCTTGTTTTACCTTACCATCTCTATGACCAATAGGGTCAATTTGGTTACTCTAGGTATCAGTTTGACATCAGCTGGTCATGGGCTGGGCAGTCCATCTGGAACACTATTAGAACACTGCATCTCTATTTTGTCTTTTATCTGCTGAGCAAAATGGTGCATTTTTTATCTACACAATGCATTCACTTATGTCCTAGATTGTCATTCTGAAAACACATCTTACTTTTTTCCTTAGACATGTCTGCTTTCTACTCTCCTTTCCAGTTTCAATGCCATTTCTTTCAGCGACTATAGTGCCAGGAATGCACGGCTAAAACTGCAAAGTCATACATTAAGGATAGCGGCTGTGGGAAAGAAAAAAGAACAATCGTGACAAACATAATCTTTAGGAGAATACACAAAAGAAATTCAGGAGTGCTTTTGGGCTGAGGTGTTATGTGTTTTCAGATAGAATAGTAAAAAACATGAAGTTGATATCTGTAGAGCATAAAGGGTGTCGTAACTATCAAGTGAGAAAGTGTTGCGTTCTTTAACCAGCACAAGTTGTATAATTATCCCATGCTGAGTTCATACAAGAAAACTTCACTTACTGCCTAGAACTTGGAGCAAATGTATATTACTTTGTTGAGTCTCACTTGGAGATGATTGAAAAAAATTAGAAATAAATCATGCAACAAAATGGAACCACCAACCATACTTTGCATAAAACAAAATCAATAAATGAAGTTATCATCTGTCATAATTATCATCAATATTTCTACTAACACCTCATAAATGTCATGAGTAATATTAATGACTGAAATAAAGCAATTCAAAATCAAATTCATTTAAAATAATTAAATATAATTAAATTTAAAAGTTGTAGGCAGTCAGTCATCGGTCAAAAAATATTGATTTTTTGCAAATCCTATATGCATTAAAAAAATGTAAAGCAAAAGCATTCCCTGCAAACAATGAATAACATAAAATTCCCTGTATCTAATAAAACAGCATCTGTAAAACCTACAACAAATATTCCAAAGGTGAATCTTCCTGTTATAATCGGATACATAAAAGAGGTGTTTACTACATCTATTCACGAGAAGGCCTAACTAGCACAATTACACAAGAAAGAAATGTGAAGCAATTAGAAAAGAAGTAAAACTATAATTATTAACAGATGATATGATTGTCTACATAAAAAAAAAAACAATGGTACCTAAATTACTACAATTAATGTGAGTTTAGCAAATTTAACAGATGGAAAAGTGATACTCAAAGACCGATTGCATTTTAATTACCAGCCCGAAACAAACAAAAAAAATGATATTACAGAAAGAGATACAATTCACAATGGCAATACAAGAATGTAACAGCAACAAAAGGATATAAAACTTAGGAATAAATCTAACAAAAAATGTGGAAGATTATTATATAGAAAATTGTAAAACTTTATTGTAAGGTATTAAAGTTGAACTAAATAAAGAGACATGACATTTTTTATGAACAGGAACATTCAAAAATGTAGAACTCTCAAGTCTCTCTAGACTAATCCATATGCCATTTCAACAAATATTCCAACATAATTTTCCATGTAATTTAATTTACTAAATTTACCCTCAAATAAAGATTGTGGTTATCTCTTTCTTTGTAATCATTCTACTCTACCCCTCATCCCCTTTTCAGAGACTTCTTTTAATAAGGACTATTTAACACTAAATATGTGCTGGGCACTGTTCTAAGCACTTTACATATAACAACACCTTTACTTCTCACAGCAACCTTTTTTTTTATTTTTTGAAAGAAAGAAAAAAGGAGTGAAAGAGAGGAAGAAAGAGGAAGAAAAAGAGGGAGGGAGAACGGGAATATTGCTTTATTCTAAAAATGGGTATTAATAATGGCCGAGCAGTATTTTATGTATTTAAGGTGGAGAATGTATATTTTGTGTATTTAAAATGGAGAGCTCTTTGAATATTTATTGAGTTTACTTGTTCCCGATCTGAGTTCAAGTCCTAGATATCCTTATTAATTTTCTGTATCATTGAGTCTAAATCTCTTTATGGGTCTTATGTATCTGGGTGTTAGGATTGTTAGCTCTTATTGTTGCATTGATCCTTTTACCACTATATCTTTGTTGCTTTGAAATCTATTTTATCAGATGCGAGAATTGCAACTCCTGCTTTTTATTTATTTATTTATTTTTGCTCTCCATTTGGTTGGTAAATCTTTCTCCATTCCTTTGTTTTAAGTCTTTGTGTATCCTTGCATGTGAAATGGGTCTGGATGTAGCATAACGTTAGGTTTTGGCTGTATCTTTTGATTGGGGGATTTAGTCGGCTTAAATTTAGGGTTACTGCCATTTGATGTTAACTGGCTGTTTTATCCATTCATTGAGGTAAATTCTTCTTTATGTTGATGCTCTTTACTTTTTGGTATATTTTTAGAAAGGCTGATACTGGTTGTTCCTTTCT